CTGATTGATTCAGAGTTTTAATTTAATATATGTTAGCTGAAAAATCTAAGAACACAATTTCAAATGCTTGTGCTTTTTTTTAGCATAACAGAATGCGCACTTTATTCCCGTGTGCATTCAGGGCTCCAGCACAGTAACTGATATATTGAGCAAAGGTCAGAAGACAGTAAATTCAGTAAAATATTGTTTGAGTGCATCCTACATCACTCAGAGTGGATGTACTGTTGAAATGACCATGCACATCTATTCAGCTTATACTATCAGTTAATTAAAACTGACAGATGAGTTTTCTTTTTTCTGGAAATATTCACTGAGAGCTAAAGAATTTCCTCCTTTCTGGGAAAAAGTGTGTTGGTCGGGGACCAGTAAATCCTTTGGTTAATTAAGGGGAAAAAAGACAAACACTAATTTGTCAGTACAGGTGCATTAAGTTTGATAATGTTTTAAAAATTTATAGAAGCAGTTACTTCAAGGTCCAATGTGAGTTATGAAGCCTAATTTTCGTTTCATAGCCATGTGATAAAATTTTATCCATGTTATAAAAATGGCCTTTGCTTAAAATGACCGGAAATCTGAACTACCTGGCCATGCAATAAAAAACACATTCCACTGTAGCAAAGTGTCAGACAAGCCACGTTTGGCTGAAAATTGATCGATATGTCTTCCTTTTACACTTGAGTGCATTCACTTTTTTTTCATCGTGGGATAATAGTTTTTTTAATGGATTTTCCATTAATATTGGTCTTCACTGTTAGTAAGAAAAGGCAGAAGTATAAAAAGGACAGGAACCACAAAGAAAAAGTTTAGCAATCTTTAATGATATGGTGGAACATACCAGCAAGTGTCATGTTGTTCTGTTAAAACAAAAACAAAAAGAGTGACAAGTTAAATATTGTGGATGCTCCAGCAGTTAAGTGCAAAAGGGATGTAAACACAATTGAAATGGACTGCTAGTGGGAGATTCTTCCTTTATTCTGGGGAAATTCATGGATGTAGCTGACTAACAGCAAATGAAAATGTAGCCGTGCTTTGTGGTGTTTCAACAGCCACATTTTTCAAAACATTTTGTTGGCTGGCAAACGGCTTAATTTGGGCAGTCTCCTGGCACTCACTGCCCATGTTTAATATTTCAGAGTTCTTCTTTTTGACATTGTCTCTAGCTACACAAAATAAAAATTTACAGAAGAATAAAAGCAGGTAGCTATTTTTACACGCTGACTGTAAAACCCGAGCGACACTTACTATGTTCAGGTTATGTGCCAAATATATGGCCCGGAACAGCCTGCAAGCTGACTGACTTCCCCTCTCCCTGCCAACACTGAATGGTTATATTAGGTGCTTACAGGCCTTTTGAGGCTTTACTTTAAAAGCAGGAGTTAAGCTAAGACCTTGTGGACAAGGAAGTTATTGGCTTCATCACTTAATTAAGGAAGATACGACTGATTATTGAAAGCCCAGTGCACTCACAGACATACATAAAAATTGTGAGGCAGTTTGCTTTAATTTTCACTTGAGGAAATAAACAGAATTGCACTGTGAGTATTTTATTACTGTGTTACACTTTGGGGCATATCATCAAGGAACCCAATGCAAATAGCTTGAGTGCAGTGAGGCTACTGGTAATTCTCTAGTTCATACAGAGTTGCTACTGACATCTGAATTAAACTGTTTTTTATCAGCATAGAAGTAGAAAATACCCTAAATACTCTAAAGGCACATGATCCTGTCTGATTGTAGGAACTAGGCAAGGTGAGCCCTACTTAGTACTTGGATGGGAAACCACCAGTGAAAAATAGCATTCCTGAGAAAACCCCTATTAAATTCTTGGCCATTGTCCTTGTCCTTTCACAGCTATTCTTGCTGTCATATTCACCTCCATTGGTGCAATTCCCAATTGAGTTTAGGCCCTGAGGTTAAGGCTATCAGGATGGGGCAGGACTTAATGACATCTGCTTCAGCTGCGGCCCTCCTAAAGGCACCTGAAGAGACATTTAAGAGTAACAAAAGATGTTGTTTCCATCATAGAAGCTACATACCCACACAATTGTCCAAATTTGGCTAGTACAAATCTCCTTTCTTTTCACTTTTACTCAGCTTACTTCAATTGCTGCAAATTGATTTCAAGTGCAAGCGTAGTTTGTTCTCAGTTGACTCAATGGAGAGGGGAGAGTACACAAGGGGTAGAGTTGTGCCCTTTACAGAAGGTTCAAGGCAAAAGCAAGCTATTGCAGTCTCTCCTCACCTGTCCGTCCTTCTTCATTAATCACCTTAGCCATTTTGTCACTGCTCTGATGTTCCATGTCCACAGGCTCCATTTTCATCTGAGAAATGCTGGAGGATAGGATACTCCAGATTATGGCAACAAGAATGATTGACAACTGGAAAATAGAGGGAGAAACCGTGGAGGCCGTGACAGACTTTGTCATTTCTAGGGGCAAAGATTACTGCAGATGCAGACTGTAGCCAGGAAATCAGAAGACGCTTACTTCTTGGGAGGAGAGCAATGTCCAGTCTCGATAAAATAGTAAGAGTAGAGACATCAGACTGACAACAAAGATCCGCCTAGTCAAAGCCATGCTATTCCCTGTAGTAACCTACGGATGTGAGAGCTGGACCTTAGGGAAGGCTGAGCGAAGGAAGATCGATGCTTTTGAGCTGTGGTGTTGGAGGAAAGTTCTGAGAGTGCCTTGGACTGCGAGAAGATCCAACCAGTCCATCTCCAGGAAATAAAGCCCGACTGCTCACTGGAGGGAAGGACATTAGAGGCAAAGATGAAGTACTTTGGCCTCATCATGAGACGACAGGAAAGCTTAGAGAAGACAATGATGCTGGGGAAAATGGAAGGAAAAAGGAAGAAGGGCCGACCAAGGGCAAGATGGTATCCTTGAAATGACTGGGTTGACCTTGAAGGAGCTGGGGGAGGTGATGGCCAACAGGGAGCTCTGGCGTGGGCTGGTCCATGAGGTCACGAAGAGTCGGAGACGACTGAACGAATGAACAACAACAACAAGGATACTGTGATCTGATTGGTCATGCTGGATGCTCCAGGTAGCTGCCATTTCCATCATGAATTTGTGAGTACACAAGAGCATGAAGAACCTTTGTCCAGTGAATCTTGTACATTCCCTCCCTGGGATAATTCAAGAAGCTTGATAGGTAAATCCTATTCTAAACCATAACCACAGAAGGCATAGAAGCCATGGAACCTTGGTGTGTACCAACAGTGCTGTTAAGCTTCTGGTGGTAGAGTCTTTCTCTTGCTTTCAAATAGAGTTGAAGGCATCCTTTAATCCAGTGGTTCTCAGCCTGTGGGTCCCCAAGTGTTTTGGCCTACAACTCCCAGAAATCCAAGCCAGTTTACCAGCTGCTAGGATTTCTGGGAGTTGAAGGCCAAACGATCTGAGCACCCACAAGTTGAGAACCACTGCTTTAATCCTATTACTAAAAACTTAAATATTCTGAAAGGAATTATACAATGTTCTCTTGAAGGAGGTTTCATTTTGAAGGACTTACCCCAGCATTTTTGCATGGTCCAAGCAACTGATCCAAGCAACTCTTGCTGACTTTTAGTACCACCATTATGTGAATAACATGGGCAGGGTGTCTTTGTTGACCCAGGACTAACTCAAAGTGTCCTAAGTCAACAAGCTATAGGACTACATGAGTTATGAGCATCTCAGGAACACATCAAAAAACTGTGTTCTGGTGTGCCATTTCTGCTTCTCAAAAATCTTAGGACCTCAAGATTCCTCTCTGCATTAGTTTTTTTTTTTTTTGCATGGTTTGGAGTAATTCATATAACAGCATTACAATGATACACGTAAATTGTATCCTCTCTATTATTCTCCATCCCACATGTTTTCTGTAATAAATCCAACCCATGCCTCTATGGTTTTCTAGAGACATATCTGATCATTCAGGTCGCTCCGGTGGCGCAGTGGGTTAAACCCCTGTGCCGGCAGGACTGAAGACCGACAGATCACAGGTTCGAATCCAGGGAGAGGCGGATGAGCTCCCTCTATCAGCTCCAGCTCCTCATGCGGGGACACGAGAGAAGCCTCCCACAAGGATGATAAAAACATCAAATCATCCAGGTGTCCCCTGGGCAACGTCCTTGCAGACGGCCAATTCTCTCACACCAGGAATCACTCCTGACACGATTAAAAAAAAGTTCAGGTCGCTGTGGATCCCAATGCACATTTCAATGCATATTCTAGAGACATTTGTGATCAAAGTTATTCAAGGATACTGATTAGTCAGTTTCCATTTACATCTTATGCAACTTCCTCATCCTGGTTATGGTATGTCTTTGCATGTGAAAGAAATTTGCTTTATCTTCAAGTGGAATAAACAAGGCGCAGACCCAATGACCTGCTTCTTCTGAAAGCTGCATTGGTAATTTAGTCCCAAATTTCAGATAAGCCTAATTAGCAAATGGCTGATTTGATAATTTTATTTTAAAAGCAACTGAGTCTTTCTGAACTTTATAGAGGAGTTAAAGAGAGTTCTGAAATCTCAATAAATGTACAGGCCTGTTTTCTTGCTTATCTAAAATAATAAGAATAATAAAAACAAGAGGCAGTGACTCTACCTCTCATAAAATAATACCTTTCCTAACATGTACAGTTGTAACTCCAAATATATCAGTTTATCATAAGTTTTATCAGGTTAGTGCAGAAATGCCAATCTCACGAGCCATATTAAGCTTTTTATGCAAAATGGGAAGAATGTGAATGTTCTAGCTCTACCCTCCCAACATCAGTTTCATTGGCCTTTTCACATGGAGAATAACAGTCTGAAGCAGACAGCCTCTGCTTTCTGTGTGAGCTGCAGCCCTAATTTTTTGGATTTCCAATTCATATGAGGATTTCATATTCAGATCTGCCATCACACATAGAGGATAAAGTGCAGGGCTATCAGACTTTTCTGTACTAACTATTGAGAAAACACATAGTTAACATAGTGAACACATGGAAAAACAAGGAGACCTTCATTTCAAATTTAATAGTCTCATGGATTCAGAAGAATGCTGGACGATGGTTTGGTGTTACAGAAATGAACAGGATACTCAAAACCACACTGTCTACACTCAGCAATTCCTCCATTCTATCCTGGTTTAAGGCAAAGTATGCTTTGCTCTTTCATATCCACTGGAAAACTATGGTTTGTGTTTGCCCTGCAAACTGAGATTTCAAAGCAAAATCATGGAAATAGTTTCATCTGAACCACCCAAATGTGCCAAATGAGTGAGGCAGACCAATAGAACAGTGTTGTTGTTTTTGTGGCACAACGATATTCAGAAATGGCTGTCAAATGATAATTGTTTCAAGAAGGTGGGCCCTTCCACCAACTCCTGAAAGTTCAAAAAGTTCTAATTTTGACAAAAAAAACCACCATATTCATGATTTAAAATTGGAATAGCAAAATGGCAGCAGGGATAACAAAATTGTTGCTGAATTGCTGGAGAAAAGCATTCATTCAGGTTTCATGGAAAAACAAGGATTTAAAACAGGAAAGAGCAAATAGAGCTCTTTTCCATAGAGAAAAATATTCTTATCAGTATATGTGTTGCATATCCTTTCTCTCTTTCTCAGAGCTTTGTTTACTATTACTGAATCTAATGGGTATGCAGAACTTCTGAAGACAGTTTCATGAACTCAAGGCTAGCCAATTAGAACAAGGGGCTTAGCCATTTTAACACTCACCGGAAGTCTTGCTGTTATTTAACCTTAATACCAAAACCCTGCAATTTCCCGAAGAACCATATCTATTTTGTTTCAGCTGTGGAGAAAAACAATGCAGCATTTACACAAGGAGAATACACTTCTAGAGTGTTACATTATTAGCACTTTAAGACTCAAAGTGATCTGGAAACTGTGCAATTGTAGACATCCTCATTTCATTTCAGGTTTGTGAGATGAATCCAGGGACTTCTGTGGTAGAAAACTGAAAGGAAGAATATGAAAGTGAAATGTATTATCTACCATTTTTTCCTCAGGTTTCTTCTCTGCAAGCCTTGATGTTAAAAATGCTCCAAATATGCCAATATTTATTGCTTCTACACGAGTACTTCATACTAATATCTGAATTTGGTATCTGAAAGTTGGCATTGTGTTTAGCATATCAATCTTGCACAGATCCAAACATATATTAACTTAGCTACAATAGCAAATTGCCTAGTAGCATATTTGACTAATAAATTTTATTTGGCAGTCAGATGGCTACTGCACCTGATGTATGTCATGTTGTTTCATTTGGCAAACATTTATACACATGCCTGGTTAGGAAATAAAGGAGGGAATTAAAATGCTATAGGTGCAAACCTTGCTGTTTATCTCAATAACTATTTAATAAACAGGATTTGGAAAGTAACATGATATCCAAGTACAGATATCCAAGTTGCAAAAGACAAGCATTTAATCTATCACTATTAGGTATCTAGTTATAGTTATTCATCCATAATTAATGCATGGTCTCGTAATACAAGATGTGATGCTAGTCAGTGGCTTTAAAAAGGCAAACTATTAGAAAAGAGCTGTATCAGCAGTAATAAATGAAAGCCAGAAGCACGTAGTTGTGGTCTGTCTTGTTGCCTTCCAGAAACATCTGGATAGCTACTAATGGAAACAGAACTAGATGGATCTTTGCTTTGATCCAGAAAGGATTACATCTTCTTATTAAATGCAGTCTTTGAGAGTATTTGATAGACAACATGCAGCAGCAATTGGCATTTTATAGCTGGCATGCAGCCATATTTAGTATACAACAGTATTTGTATTCTGGTATGCAGCTGTGATCACTATCTGACAGCCAAAATGTGGTAGACATCAGCATTTGACAGTATGTGACAGCTGTCATTCCATTTCTCTGATACCATTTGCAGCTGTTGCGCAAATAAAATACAATGGTATTATGTGTTGTTTTCCACATAGCAGCTTGGAAAGTTACTTTGTAAAAGAATGGATATAAGGACACACTGCAGTTGTCCTTAACTGAACCATGGTGTATCTCAGAGCATCTTTTCCAATCTGTGTGTGGAGTTGCCTGTAATATCCCAGGGAGAAGTGCTGATGGGATCAATACAGCTTATTTTAAATATGACAGGCTCCACATTGGACTATGAAATGTTGTGCCTTTCCCCCTCTCTCTGTGAAAAACACTTGTGTTTGGGGATCTCTAGAGGCAAACTCTTGGGGGAAAAACATAAGAAAGAGGACACACCACTTCCACTCAATCTGCTTGCTCAAAAAACTGGTTGACTGTTGAGATTGGAACATGCTATGTGGCCCCATTTTTTTTCCTGTGGTCCTCAAACATTTTCCAGTTTTCCTGGGTTATTCTTTTACATTCTCCCTAAGTGAGAAGCCTCAAGGAGCGGAAATCCACTTTTAAAATAGTTTTCAGCCCCTGATCATGAAAGAACACCAGTCTTCAGAAGTGAATTATTGACCACTTCCATTTGGTAACTTGGGCATTTTGGCAGTCTGTGACCACACTACCATATAAAATGCAGATTATTTGCTTTGAACTGGATTATATGGCAGTGTAGATCCAGCCTAAGATTTGTTGCTGCTCAGGAAATATATAAATTTGAACCTATAGGATAGAATAAGTGTGATAGAATAAGTTTGATTAAGTTCTACAAGGGACAAGACAATATATCTCAGAGTTCTAAGAAAACATATTGCTGATTTAGTGACATTAATTGAAAAAGAATATATATTTGGATATATATATATATATATATATTCATAATATATATTCATAATTTAGTAACATTCACTGAAAAATAAGATCTCTGGATCTTAAGAAAATTCATTTGTTACTTAGTATCATTCATCAAAATGTCCTATCTCATTAGTTATGAATGACCCAGGAGATTATATCAGAGGCCAGAGGATGAAGCAGTGCTTCTTTTCCAGCCATGACTGAGATCTTAGCCCAAATATTAGTATTGTTGCTGAGATCTGAAATCTTTGCTCCAATAATAGCATTAGCAAAAAGAAGGCTTCTGGGAGCATGGGGAAGTGAGGAGGTATTGGATCCATTAGATCCAAACCACTTCCTTTATTTCAACATGCTCCAGGCATGTACAGAATATTTCAGTTCTGAAATGGGGATACAGTGAAGGTGAAATAACTTTAACACTTATGAAAAAAGGAAGGAAAGAAATCCCTGCTATCCTTTTCTGCTGGCAGAGTTTGTTTTCCTCCACTGGAATTCTCTTTTAGAGTTCCTAGGTCAAGACTCTTTAAATTAACTTGGTATTTTCTATTTCAGGAGTTACTTACTTAATCAGTGGCATCTGCATGACTTTTGCAGGTAAGAGCAAGAAGAGAGCTATTCATGCTGACCTATAAATTAAAAATGCGATTAGCAATATTGTTCCATTTAATACATTTTCATAGGAATCAAGAAGGTTTCAGTCAGTCAAACAGTTTTATTACACATTGTACAATAGATTTCCCTTTTAAAAGATTTTCTCCCAAACTTGAGTTTATATATTTAGCTTGACAGAGAAATACATTTTGCAGTGCACTCATATGATTCTGGGAATGATGTTTCAGGAGATAGATCAGGTCACGTCACCAAGAATAGAAAGAGCCCCGACTTCCGGTAGCGGCAAGATGGCGGGTGCCACGGTTTGCTGAGGCTCCTCAGCAACCGCTCCTGTTGCGACCCTAGGTAGAGCATTTGCTCCCCCAACCCAACAGCGAGAGGCGGGTTGGAGCGTCCAGCTGGTGGGCACTGCATGTCGTGTTTCGGAACTTCAACTCGACAGGAGTGCTAACCAACCGGCTGCGCAGGGAACGACGAGGATACCCGTATGGGCTAGCACCAGCCGCTATTTCAAGCTCAAGAACTCCTAACAGGAGTAAATAAGAAGCAAAAGGGAAAAGAAAAGAAAGGAATCTGGTCAGCCACGAGTGTCGTCGGGCGTGTCAAGAACTTCACTTACCCGAGAGAAGCTGTCTCCGTAAGCACTTACTCCGGCGTGATACTGGCGAGGCTCCTCCCGAGTGAAAGAGGGGGAAGGAGAAGGAGAAGGAACGCAAGCGGCGGCAAGCAGGACAAAGCGGGAGCGAAGCGAAAGCGAAAGCGAAAGCGCGTTTGGCGGTTGAGCTTCGCCTATGCGCCGCGGTGAGACTGTAAAACGCTGTGTGCGACGCCGCGAAGTGCCGTGGAGCGTCGCAAAGTGAGGCAAAGTGCGGTGGAACGCCCCGGAGCACCGCTGGAGCTGCAAAACAGGCCTGAGTCGAGACACAAGATAGCGTGCACAGTTTACATAACAACCCTGCTCGAGCGAGTCGGAGTAGCGGTGGATACGCTGAGTGCGGAGTGCGGACTGTGGGAAGCCGCAAGGCAGCTGTAGGAGAGCTGCATGAGAGACTCAGAGGCACAAGCGGCATTGAGAGGGAGGAACACCACTGGAACAACAAAGCCGTAGCTTGAAAAGGCGAAAACCTCAGATAGTCCACGGAGGAACTCAAAAGTGACGTTGCTCTGCTAACCACTTTATTGACCAACAAAGAGTTTTGGGGAAACTTTGAATAATCCCCCTGCGGCAATGAATTAATCACCATAATAGAGTGCGCGGAGACTGTGAGTAACAAAAAAAAACAAAAACTCAGAAACTAAATCAATGAGTAACGAGCAGTGAGGAGTGGGTAAGGAATATCCTGAGGTTTTGTGCTTTGCACTCCTCTCTGTTCCAGACCGTTGTGGTCACACAGGTCATAGAAATAAGGTGCGCTTGTTGAATGACTGTTACTGTTGAATGACTGTTAATGTAAAACTACTGCTCTTTTTGAAACACAAATTGATATTGACCGAAAGGAACTAAGTTGAAATAATATATATACTGAACACAGAACAGGAAGACCTGATAGCGCCCGACCTCGGAGTGTTGGGATCTGGAGTTGACTCTGTACCGCATGTTTTTGAACTCCCAACCAGTTCTAATTCGACCTGGCGCAGAGACTTACAAACATTTTCTCAGCTGCAGTAACGGAATTCACTGCTCCATTTAGTAGACATTGTGAAGATTTGATTCCCATGTACCTCCCCTGTACCTCTTCCTAATAGTTGCTATTTAGATGTTTTGCTTGTTTTGCTTGATTATTAATGTATAGATTTGTCTCCTCTGTACCTCCCAATTACCCCTGCCCAACAAGCTCCTTTTCTATCGGTTGCATTTGGCTGTTATGGGGACAAACTTATATTAATCAAGGTGCAGCTTTTGCAGACTTACCTTAGCTGATTTACTGCAACATCTTTGCTATTATAATAGTTTTTTTCCGCATAACACACTCTTTTGCCCTGAAAAACTGAAACAGTACTAGACTAATATTGGTCATATTTAGGAGATACACTAAGTTTTCATACCATTGATGTATTTAACACATTGTAATTTGCTGATATTGTGTTGATTCATTTCCAGTGCCCCTCCCTGAACCCCTCCCCAAAATCTTCTTAATACTTTTTCAAATGTACTTGGTGATATCTAATGATACGGTTTAAATTTGATTGCTACATACATTTATAATCCACTGTACCACTTAGTGGACACTGTCATGATTTGATTCCCATGTACCTCCCTATTAACCCTTCCCAATAATCTTCTATTTGATTGATGTTCTGCCTGGACGATACTGTGTAGATCTCGTCCCCACTATACCTTCCTATCACCCCTCTCTAATAACCTTTCATATTATAGGTTATACTTGACTAATATTGTGCCGATTTGCTACCTTTGTACCTCCTTCTTGCCTTCCCTGACAACTCGCAAAATAAAACAGTGCAACAATGGCAACTCTGCAAAAAGGGAAAATAGAAAAAGAAAAAGAAAAGGAAAAGGATAAGGAAGTTGAGAAAAAGACTCCACTCAGCACCAGGAAAGGCTCCCTACCAGAAGAGCCTACAATAAAAGATCTTATGAAAGAACTACTCAAAATACAAGCAGAAATAAAGACAATCCAAAACAACCAAGAGGCACAAAGTAAAGCCAGCAAGAGCGAGACTGAAGCAATGAAGAAAGATATGAAAGATATGAAAGAAGAGCTGCAATCATTGCAATCTATAATGAAAGAAGAGATGACCACCGTAAAGAATGAAGTAGGAAAAGTAAAACAAGACAATATAGATCTACTCAAGGATAATATCACAATTAAGAATCACCAGGAAATAGTAAAGAAAAAAATGAGAAGTATAGAAGAGGTGATGGACAGAGTTGAGAACCAGCAGGAAATGATGGAACTTAGAGAGAAAGAAACCCAACTTAGATTCAGAAATGTGATAGAGGAGGAAGAAGAGAACATAAGGGAAGTAGTAGTGGACATCATTACGCAATTAACCAAAAAGAGAAAACCAGATGTCGAACTAGAAGTTGACAGAGTGTTCAGGATACAAACATCACATTCCAGGAAATTTAAAACCCCGAAAGACATTATTGTACAACTGATAAAGAAAAGTACTCGGGATGAAATACTCAGAGAACACTCGAAATCCCCAATGCAGCACAAAGGAAATAAAATCGTAATCTTGAAGGAGATACCAATATCGGTACTGGAGAGAAGACGTAAATATTATTTCCTAACCGATGAGTTAAAGAGAAGAAATGTAAAATTTAAATGGGAAAGGAGGGAAGGTCTAACAACAACATGGAACGACAACAAATACTGGTTAACATCTGAAGCCAAAGCAAGAACCTTTTGGGAGAAGTATCTGAAAAAGAAAAATGAAAATAAAAAGGGAAACGAAGAGGAGGCAAGAGGGAAGGGTACATTTCACCATAACGACTACACAGACAGCGTAACAAAGAGACTTGACCTTCTAGACGAAGATGACAATGACAACGAAAAAGGAAGGAAAAGACCAAGAGAAATATCTCCAGGAAACTATACCTTTCAGAAAGAAACTATTAAGACAGATATAGGCCAATTAGTTAAGAGAAATGACAATGATGGCTAGAAAAATTAGAATTTATTCAAATAATGTTAATGGATTGAATGGCCCATGTAAGAGAAGGAAAATTTGGCACCATCTAAAAAAATGTAACTATGATCTAACCCTTCTACAGGAAACACATATTTCTAATAAACATATATCACACCTAGAATGTAAGACGTTGGGGAAAAGTTATTACGCGTCCGGATCGGAAAAAAAAAGAGGTCTAGTAACGTATGTTAAAGAGAACATTCCTTCGGAGTTGGCGTTTAGAGACTCTGATGGCAGAATTTTAGGAGTTCTGATAAAAATTGAGGACAAAAATGTTTTGGTCTGTAATATATACGCACCCAATGAGGCGAAAAGCAATTTTATAAAAACCTTAAAAAAATACATCCTAGGAACAGATTATGATGACCTATTACTTATGGGGGACTACAATGGGGTGGTGGATATAATTAAAGACAAATCAACCAATGTGTTAAAAACAAAACAAAAACAATCAGAGATCCTCCCAAAGACCTTCATAGAGCTAAAAGAAGAATTGGGCCTAACAGATATATGGAGATACCATCACGAAAAAGAGACCGATTATACTTTTTTTTCCAATAGACACTCAACGTGGTCACGCATTGATATGGCCTGGGTAACAAGCACTATCATACCAGATATAACTAAATCTGCAATATTACCCATGATCAACTCCGATCACGCACCTATAGAGCTACAAATTCAAAATCAAAAAGAAGAAAAGACTACTTTCAGATGGCGACTGAACGATAAAATACTTTCAACACCTAATCTAGTAGAAAAGAATAAAGAACTATTGAGTGAATACTTCAATCTAAACACGGAGAAAGACACACCCACTAAAACCATATGGGAAGCTCATAAAGCATTTATAAGAGGTCATTTACTCGAGCAAGCAGCAAGGATGAAAAAGGCCAGAAATAATGAACAAAAAAAACTAGAAAGGGAGCTCTCTAGGCTGGAAGAAAAACTCAAGGCAAACTCAAAAGATACCAAAATACGTCACCAACTAAACATACTAAAAAAGAACATAGAAACACTTCAACTAGAAGAGATAGAAAAGAAGCTGAAATATACCAAACAATATTATTTCGAAAACGCCAATAAAATAGGAAAAGCACTCGCCAGGAAAATTGCGGTGAAAAAGCAGAGTAGACCAATAACAAAGATAATGGAGGGAGACAAACCCTTATATAAGACAAGTGAAATTATAAACCAATTCACGAAATTCTATAAAAATCTGTACAAAGACGAAAACATCCCCAAAGAAAGAATAATGCAATACCTAGCAAAACAAACTATTCAAAGAATTTCAGATGATCAACGAAAGATACTGAACAACCCAATAACGCTAGAAGAAGTCATATTAACGATCAAG